TGAACCCCAGTGGGCTCCCCGAAGAAATTGCCCCTGAGCGTGCCTCCATCGCTCCATGGAGCTCTGAGAGCATGTGCCTGCCTGGCGCGCTCCGCGCGCCTGGCTCTGGCCGCTGCTCGGTTGGTCTCGATGCGGGCCAGCTGAGCCTCGCTCAAGACGAGGGTTGGAGGCGGAGGGGGGACAACAGACGGCGACGACGACGGAGGAGGAGGAAGGAGGAGGGAGGAGGAGGAGGAGGAGGAGGAGGAGGAGGAGGAGGAGGAGGAGGAGGAGGAGGAGGAGGACCGAGGCCGCGAAGGCGATCCGCCGAGGTCCGCGGGCCGCGGGTCGGGCCTCGCGGACGATGACGGCGCTCAGCGGTGCGCTGGCCCAGGAGCCGCCGCTGGCCGCGGAGGGGCTGAGGCCGAAGGCGCCGGAGGCATCGCCGCCCGCGGGCCTCGGCTGGGCCCCAAAGTCAGGCATCGATCGTCGACGAGTCTCCTCGAGCTTCCTCGATCCTCGATCCTCCTCCTCGATCCTCGATGCTCGAACCTCCTCCTCCTCCTCCTCCACCTCCTCCCGCTCCTCCTGTTATGCGTCAGGCCAACTTCGATCGACTGGGAGCGCAGAGTCACGATGGCAACATCGCGGCACAGTGGCATAATAACAGACTTTTGCGTAGTGGACAGCACGTTCGACCTCAGTGAGCGCAGCAGAACAAACGTAACAGAGCGACAAAGGAAACAACAAACACGATAAAGGCATTCCATATCCGCTCACTTGGCCTCGGACAGGGTGAAGGAGGTGAGTCTGATCTGCGGATGGATGGCAACCGTAAGAAGATAAGGTAGGCACTGGACTGGTACGAGGCCATCTACTGAATGTAATGCGGGCGCCAGCTGTTTTCGTCAACACGGCTGCTGTCGATCATCTACAGTGGGCAACAGGAGTTCCTCTACCGACGGGCCAACATGGCCCTAGGCACAGGTTCAAGCTCGTATCACCCATGTGTTCAACGATCCTCCCGAGCCTCCATAAACTGAACCTGATCAAGGCTAGACAGATCTAGCTGTGCGGGCGCTTGGAAACGTACGCATACGTGTTCTGTCTTCAGGTCCGCCATGTGTGGTCGGGCATGCGATGGGCAACTCAAGGAGCCTAGTGATGTTGAACATTTCCCTCTGACCTCGCTGGGCTTCTGTTGAACATCCAGAAGTACGCCCACGTCTTCGGTCCTCGGTGGAGTGACTCGCCTTCGCGTAACAAGGGTGACGCGAGTTGGGGAACTGGCGCATTCTGAACAAGCTCAATCTGATAAGCGACAGAGGCTGTTGTTACTCAAAACGCTGTCTAAGTGGTGGAGCGAGCTGGGCTGTGTAGCGGGCTGCGCGTGTGTGCCGCTGGTTGCATGGGGGTGGGGGTTGGGAGTCAACACAGATACTGGGGATGTAGTCGTCTCAGCCCGAGGGGAGCACCACTAGCAGTCAGCTTCAATTAGGGCTATTCACAAGACATGCTGGTATTGCGTGCTCGTAGAGGAGTGATGTATGCTCTGCGCAACACAAGTGCTGGTCAGGCGGAGTGTGCACATCTCATCATACATTCGTGTGCGCGGACAGGCTGGCTAGATGAGTCAATGCTGCAATCTGGGCGGAAGCCAGCAGGGGTGATGAAAGTGACTGGAAGTGATTGAGATCACACAGAAGAGACATAACGGGATGACGGAATGGGGCTGGCCAGTGTGCCTTCATGTAAGGCGAGTCAATGCGTTTCTTGCCTTATGCAGGGGCCTTGTAAATAGCTGGCGGCCATGATGATGATGACGATGGCCACATAGGGATGGGAAGCTGATGGTCGTTGTCTAAGCTTGCTGTGACCGCAAAAATCAGAAGGAGCTCCAGTGTGTCAACTGGCCCTGTCCTGTCGGCTAAACGCAAGAGTAACCCTGGGCAAGAATGACCTTTGGTGCGCGGCTTTGGGAGGCCGTGGGGGGGGGCGTTCCAAGCGCGCAAGCCAGTTCTCGGGGGACCTCTGTGGGCCCGCACCGAAGGTCACTCTGGCGAAGGGTCACTCTCACGAGTAGCCTCTGCCTCCTCCTCCTCCTCCTCCTCCTCCTCCTCCTCCTCTTACTGTTCCTCCATGTTTAACGTTGCCCAGACATGGATCGGAGGTCGTTGCGTTATTCGTGACGTGAAAAAAAGAATCGCCGACTTAGGCGAAGAGGCAAGCAGATTAAGCAGGTGGCGGGCACTGGGGGAAAAGACGCGCAAGACAAAAGGGCAGCAGAAGAAAACCAATAACGGCGCAGAGTAAGCGCCCGCCACCTGCACTGGAGGAGGCACCTGAGGAGGAGGAGGAGGAGGAGGAGGAGAAGGTTCCTCCGCCTCCTCCTCCTCCTGCTCCTCCTCCTCCTCGCCTCCTCATCCTCCTCCCCCCCTTCTCCTCCTCCTCCTCCTCCTCCTCCTCCTCCTCCTCCTCTCCTCCCTCTCCTCCTCTCCTCCTCCTCCTCCTCCTCCTCTCTTCTTCTCTTCTTCTTCTTCTTCTTATTTTCTTCTTCTTCTTCGTCTCTTCTTCCTCCTCCCTCCTCCTCCTCCTCCTCCTCCTCCTCCTCCTCCTCCTCCTCCTCCTCCTCCTCCTCCTCCTCCTCTCCTCCCTCCCTCCTCCTCTCCTCCTCCTCCTCCTCTCCTCCTCCTCCTCCTCCTCCTCCTCCTCCTCCTCCTCCTCCTCCTCCTCCTCCGCAGCTGACGCCGACCCCGGCCAAACCGACTCCAGGCCACAGGCTCGGTGCACACGTGCTTTTTCTACTCGAGCGGCGCGTGCTCGTGCGCGACGGGGGCCGCACGGCGGAGCCGGCCAGAGAGCAGGGCCCCCGGGGACTATCCCAGCACGGGACGGGCCCGTCCCAGCATGCCTTGATCGGCGGCGAGCGGTAGGGGAAGTGAGACGGAGAAGGCCGTCTCAGAAGGCGGCGGGGCTTCTCGGAAGCCCTCGCGCCTTCTGAGAAGTTTGTGGCGTCTTCGGGGAAGGCGTAGGAATTTGCTCACAAGGCCGCTGGACTTCCGAGCCTTCTGAGCAGGCCTTCTCCTTCTCACTTCACCCCCTCGCTCGCCGCCGATTTTAGGCTTACCATGACAGGTTCTTGGGTCAAAGGATGTTCTGATAACAATACGAACATTATTAGGCGAACGTTTTCTTTTTCGGCGTTACGACAATGGGCGGAAGGGAGGGGAAGAGGGGGTCTGGCTCCGAACCTCTGCTCAGTGCGACTGTTTGCAACAGTGCGTCCTATGGGGGAGACTCCACCCGCTTGAAACAGGCGCCAAAAAACAGCCAAGATCTACTCCAGGGGCGGGGGTGGAGGGGGGTGCGAGGGCCCGCGCCGATCGGCAAAACAATGAATGTGACAACGATATTCTTAGAACATCACAGACCACGTCATGACAACAGGACGGACTCAGCCAGACAAGCTCCAAAAACGTTTCGTGCAGGCCACAAAAGCGGTTCTTGGAACAGTCTGCGAAGGGCTTATAGGCATGCCACGACGCTTCGCCACAATCTGAAGCCCGAGAGGGCCAGGCCCCCAGACCCCCGACGCCATGACTTCTGTCATGACCTCGACCCGCAGAGGCTTCGACCTCTTCCCCGGGATCGGTGTCCCGTCCCGAGCGCTTTTCTGACGGTCCCGAGGCCCAGTAAGGGCCCCCGGCAGGCCGAGGATGGCGAAACTCCTCCCGTCGACGACGGGAGGAATCTCGACGACGGGCCGTCGTGATTGTTTCGTGCCAGCAGGCCGAGCGCGCCGACCGCCGCCGCGCAGCAGCCCTGGCCGGGAGGCGCGCAGGGCTCCCCCCGGCCGGGGAGCCACGCCGCTGCTTGCGGGGGGGACCCACGGAGAGCCCCCCGCATCGGCTTCCGGGCGGGGCGGGGCGGCGGGGCGCGCAGCGGCTTCGCGGGACAGCAGCGCCTGTGGGCGGGCCTGCGCCGCGGGCACACGGAGCCGAGCTCCGTATACCCAGACCCCCTCGAGGAATGAAAAATTGGAAACGAGAGGCTTTTCATAGTTTTCGGCCTCTGGGGGTCCTTCTCGATCCTGGGGACCGTCAGAAAAAGACTCAGGATGAAAAACCGGTCCTGGGGAATAGGTCGAAACCTATGGGGGCCGACGTCACGAAACAAATCATGACATCGGGGGTCTGGGTACACCGCCGCTCGTTCTGGCCCCGCACTGAACTTCGCACAGGCAAGAAGGTCCTGGTGTATAGACAAAGAGTCCTGGTGTATGCGTTTTGCGTTGCTTCCCCGGGAAAGCAAGGACAAAGGTATACGCCACACCACCCCGACGTCGTCCGCGACCCTCAAGACGCCCTGGGATTGCAAAATAGCCCGCCACCTCTAGGGCAAACGCAACCGCTTGGAGTCCGACCGCGGACGACCGGCATCCGACGAGTCGGCGGAGCACCGAGGCGCCGCGTGCGGCTCGGGTTAGGTCGGGCATGTCCTCCTACATACAGGCGAGTACTGTCAGAAAAACAGAACATCCTCTACAAAAAACCAGAACTAGTCAGGAGAGCACGGAGCATCGTACCCAGACGATGTTTCACCATTCTTGAGCATTCCTCCTGTAGAGGGACATGCCCGGCTTAACGCATCCGCTTGGAGTCCGACCGCGGCTGGCCGGCATCCGACGAGTCGGCTGGGGGCCGAGGCGCCGCTTGCCCGATACTGGGCACGGGACGGGGCCTGGCCAGGATCGGTGCACGTCTACCTCCTCCCCCTCCTCCTCCTCCTCCTCCTCCTCATCATCCTCTTCCTCCTCCTCCTCCTCCTCTCCTCCTCCTCCTCCCCCTCCTCCTCCCCCTTCTCCTCCTCCGCCTCCTCCTCCCTCCTCCTCCCTTCTCCCTCCTCTCCTCCTCCTCCTCTCCTCCTCCTCCTCCTCTCCTCCTCCTCCTCTCTCTCTCCTCCTCCTCCTCATCCTCATCCTCCCCCTCCTACTGGAACACGCACATGGTCAGTGGCTGGACTCACGTGTGGAACATCCGGAGGCCATCCGACGGATCACAAGCGATAGCCTTCGGTGGCAACTCGTTGGAGCCTCCGATATCTTGTCGGGGGCGTCAACTAACGACTCAGGACGAAACACCCGTCCTGGGGCACGGGTCGAGACCTCTGGGTGTCGAAGCTACGAGCAAACCATGACGCCGGGGGTCTGAGCGGGTGGATGTCCAAAGAAGCCATAAAGCATAGGATCTGGGGACGAGCCCATTGTTACTTCTTCATGTTCTTCTTATTATTATTCGTTTTCTTCTTCTTCTTCTTCTTCTTCTTCTTTTTGGGGGGGGCACCCGTCCTGGGCACTACAGCATGATGACAAGAAAATGTGTAAACACTGAGGCGTGCGAGCCGTCGCCCGGAACGCGGTGTACGTCACTTGGTCCACGCCTCCCGAGTAATGTGCACTCTGCGCGGGGGCGGCTGCAAAGCCCGATTTCGTAATAAAAGGGATGGGGGTCTGGACCCTCCAAGACAAGCCATTCGCAGCTGCAGTCGCCGTCTGCCTCGTCGGTCGCGGTCAGTGGCCGTTGACCTCGTCGCCAGCCCCTCCCTCAGTCGCCGTCGGTCGACGTTGACTTCGTCGCCGCCGCAGCCGCCACCGCCTTATTCGTCGGCTGTGAACGTCGCCACCGCCGAGTCTGCCACCGCCGTCCTCTCCGTCGGTCGCCATCGGTCGTCGTCGCCGTAGCAGCAGTAGCGGTCTTTTTCTTCTTATTCTTCTTCTGCTGTTTCTCCTTCTTCCTCTCATTCTTCTTTGGTCGCCGTCGGTCGTCGGTCGTCGTGGTCGTCATGTCGTTGTGGTCGTCGTTGCCATCGTGGTCGTCGTCGTCGGCGTCGTCGTCGTCGATGTCACCGTTGTTGTCGTCGTCGTCCGCCGTCGCCGTCGTCAGCATTGCTGTCGTCGTCTCATCCTCCTCCTCGAGGCGGCAGAGGGGGGAGGGGCGGTGGGACCACGAAATTTTGCAACTTGATCCTGACTGCGTAAGGCTGCACCTACATTGCGACGCCACCTCGACGAACAAGCCCCGCCCTCTACATTTCAATGTTGGCATCAAGCGAGCACCCCGAGTCCGGGTGGACAGAATGATGCAAATCAACATAGAAATGTGTGGGGGTGGGAGTTCCTCAGAGATCGATGGAATCTGATCCAAGTCGGCACGCTGTTTCTCAGAACGCTCAGATCGCATGCGACATGTTGTACACCCGTTGGGAAGGACGAGAAGGCGACAGGGGAGGAAGGAACGGGTGCGGGGGCACAGGGTTCTTGATGACGACGGGCCAAGAGGGCGACGACGAGCGGGAGGGAATGCTGTGACGAAGCGCAGGGCGGAGGGCCCGCGGAGGGGGGGCCGACGGATCTGGGAGTTGGTCTTGCAGGCCCACGGTGGCCCGTCGAAACCTTGGGGGCGGGGGGGAATGACTATACCTGCCAGACCACCCCAACCCAACCCGAAGGCCCGAATCTGACCCGAATTTCGGGTTGGGGGGGGTACGGGTTCCATGTGTTTTTTCAGCATCACACAGGGCAGGGCTGCTCGGTAAAAGGCCCAGGGCTGTCTAGCAGACGCCAGTTGAGGCTTCGGGGTGGCTTCTCCTCGTTTGAATGAGCTGCGTGCGGCGCCCAAGCGGCCTGGGCAACGAGCACCGCGCCGCCTCCCGCGCGCGCTTTTGGGCGGGCGCAGGCGGGCCCTGCCGACTCCGCCCGGCGGCGCTTCGGCTCATCGCTCCGCCGTCGCCGAAGCTGCTCCAGCCTGGCCCGCGCCTCCTCCAGCTCGGCCATCTGGCGAGCCCTCGCGCGCGCGCGCGCTGCCGGATCTCTCGGTGCACCAGTGCAGGATGACTATGACGATGGAGAAGTGACGATTGACCAGTGCGGTCGGAAGCTTTTGGTTAGCGCCAAGCGGCGACGGCCCTGGCGACACGCTATGCCATCGAGCGGATGACGTATCGCCCCGGTCCGCGGGGCGGGGGGGCGGAAAAGGCTCGGGACACCTACGTTTGGGTACACGGAAGTGGTCAGCGTGTCACGCCAAAGCGTGGTGGGCCAGAAACGGCGGAGCGACATGCTAAGCCACAGTCCCCAACCGTCGTGTTCTACTGATGGGGTGAGTGTCTTAGGGCGACCAACAGTTATCACTGACGACGGCGATGCCCAGACGCAGCCCGGAGCCAAACTTATGAGCATCCTTTGAATAGTCATCGCCCATGGTGCAGCTCCGTGACGCGCCCCCAGCGGCAGTTCTTGGTTCTTCATCGGCATCCCTATCTCAATCTTAATGTGCTGTCCTACGCTACTTGCAGAGTTTAATGTTATCCCGCCTGCCTTTAAAACAATTCCAAAGCCGTTTCTGGCGACAACGCAACCGAAAACCAAGATCATCGACAACGAAACCGAAACCGACCGAAACCGACAGGCCGCAAGCAACCTGAAGGGCGTAGCGACCCAACAACGACTTGGCAACTGAGCGACCGCAACCGACTGCGACGCAGCCGAACTGACCGAATCGCGGACACCTTCACGGCGAGCATCAGTCGGGAGACGTGAGGCTCGAGTTTCGAGCGATGGACTCGAATTTGCATGATGGGACCCAATCCGAAAATTGGCGCGCCCTCTGGCTGCAAAAATCCCACGGGAACCGCATCGTCAAAATTATGCCGGAACCGTCATACAGCAGAAGCAACCAGAACTCGGGTGAACTCGAATCTCGCGCTTCGCAGCCTCTCAAGAAAGCGACGCGCCTCTCAAGAAAGCGACGCGCCTCGCAGCCTCTGAGAGGCCGGGGGGCGCCATTGCGCCATTGCAGCCCCCCTCAGGCCAGGAAGGTGAGGGCACAGTCTGATGCACGCAGGGATGACCCTAGTCAAGAATGGGCCCAGGCCCAGTTCTCCTAAGTTTTCACTGGCTCCTGGAAGCTTTCTCACCTCGGGCTGCTTTCCAACCGCTGCACCTCGCCGAGACCGTTCCAGAGGTGCCCGACTCGCCCCGAGCGGCCGAAGACTCTGGTTATGGCCTGGAAGCCAGACGCAAAGAGTGACCCCAGGCAAGAGCGACCTCCAGTGCGCGGCCTTTCGATTGCCGCGTACGGCGCGACTGGGTGGCTGCCCTCGCGCTTGCAACACGGCGCTCGCCCCTGCTGCGCCCCCCCGAGAGCCGCACGCCCACGGTCACTCTGGCGAAGGGCCGCTCCTCTTGGCACAGCCGAGGCGGGCCACGAGCAAGAGGTGGCGCGGGGACCCTCCGCCGACGTTGCCCCAGATCGACAACGGTCGCCCTCGAGCCCGCGATGCCTTGCCCCAGAAGGGCCACGCCCGCGGCGACACCGACGGCGAGTCCTGGTCGAGGTTGGCGCGGACTGCTGTCGGTCCACGAGGCATGGGGCGCGGAGCGCCTCCACCGGGGCGCCGCCGGAGGCGGCGCTAGGGTGCCGAGACGGCCCCGGCCTATACTCGGGGGGCCTGTCGAGGCCAGCTGGGACTACCTCAGGCCAGCCGGGACTACCTGGGGGGGGGCTCTCTGCGCGCAACTCGAGGCCTTACCGAGTGCCAGCCCGTCATCGTCTTCTTCTTCTTCTTCCTCTTCTCCGTCATCTTCTTCTTCTTCTTCTTGTTAGTACAGGCCTCGGAAAAATTTAGCGAACACTCATGCCACATTCATCTGTGAACGCCTCCCCCTTCCCCCAATGTTCAAAGTTGGCGGTGGGTCTGATGAGTTGCACCTCGACGGCAGTCTTCCCCCCGCGTGCCAACTTTGAGTTGTGGGGGCAGGGGGGGTGTTCACTAATTGTTTCCCTCTACCGTATTACTCGTAATATCATTATTCTTCGAACTATTACTATTATCATTTTCATTGTTTTGGGAAGCCCAGAGATATCGATATCGCTACGCACTACCCAGACCTCTCCCCGGGTGCGTTCTGGCCAGGGATGTCGAAGCGAATCCAACGGTGGCGCTGAGGGCCTCCCAGGAGGCCCGAGCAGGCGAAAACGGAGGCAGGGAAGCGGCATCGGCACCGTGCCCAATTCTTCACATGAAGTCCGTACAGGTCCTGATCCTCGGGGCCTCCCTCTGGGACTCTGGGACCAGCTCGTCATCCTGAGCCGCTTTCTGACAGCCCTGGGCCCGGGGAGTGCCCCAGGAGCTCGAGAGCGGCGAAAAGCCTCGGGACCCGGCTCCCTCATGACCCGCTTCCTTCATGGCGAAGTACGGCCCTCCAGAGCTCAAGCTTAGGTCGGGCAGGTCCTTCTACAGGCGGGCTTTGGAAGGAAAGTGAGACATGGTCGAAAGATTCAGAAATATCGAAATCTGTGGAAGCATCGTCAACCGACTATTTTTAAACGATTCTCCCATGTGCCTCCTGTAGAGGGACATCGTCGAAAGATTCAGAAGTATCGAAATTTGTGGAAAAATCGTCACCCGACTATTTCTAAACTATTCTCCAGTGTTCCTCCTGTGGAGGGCCCTGCCCGACTTAAGCCTAAGCCCAGCCGGCGCTGGGCAGGGCGGGGCCGAAGGGCCCCAGCGAACGCCCGGCCCTCGAGCCTGGGGCGCTTCCGCCGGGCGCCGCGAGCGCCGCCGCCGGCGCGGAAGGCGCGCCGCATCGCCTGGTACTTGGCCTCCCAGAAGCCGTCCTCGCGGGGCCGCTCGGAGGAAGAAACGCCTCTGGCCTCACGCTGCTCCCGTCGTGCGGACCACGTCCAAGAAAGGATTTCGAGCACTCAGAAGTGTATCGCAGCAGTATTTGCCCGACACGCTAGCGAAACAGTCGAGCGAATCTATCGCCTCCCAGGGCCCGACACGGGAAAACCCTCCAGTTTGGATAAAGCTTCCTTGGCGCTCGAAATGCAAGGCTACAGTAAGTTGGGACGTCAGAGCTCTGGCCGCTTCCGGGGCCCTATGGGCTCTTCCTGGGCCCCAGGACCGTCCAGAGAGACGACTCGCGAGGGATGGCCAGCCCTGGGGAACCAACCGGTCGGGACATCCGGGGGCGCCGTGCTGACCAAATCGGGGCATCGCATGTCTGGGACAAGATCGGGTCGGACGAACGGGGGGGGGGGGGAGGGGTACCCTGAGATCCAGGCGTTGCAATCTTTCCGCTCGGGGCGTTTTCGCTGGCTTTCGGGCCCTGGGACCCTCACAGATCGATCCAGCTCGAAAATTGAGGCAGAAAGATTGGGCCCGGAGCTCCGGCCGTGATTTCTCCAGATGCTGCAGTTTTTCGCCACGTCGGACCTCCGGGCCAAGGGGGCGGGTCCGCGCATGGGCTCACGTTGCTGCTCTCCCCAGCGCCGGAGGCGCCCCGCGCGCGCCCATGAAGGACTGCCCGGCGGCGGGGCGGCAACCCGCCACGCACCCAGACCCCGACGGCGTGATCTTTCTCACAGCGTCGACCCCCAGAAGCCTGGAGCCTTCCCGGGGGGCCGGGCTTTTCATCCTGTGAGTCTGTAATTATCTTGCCGGTCCCGAGGCCCGGGAAGGGCTCCTGGGGAGGCCGAGAGTATGGCGACACGCCTCCCGTCGCGATTTTTGTACGGCGCGAGGGGGTCGGGGCGTGCAGCACGGCTCCTCCCCCGCGCCTCCTTCCCTGAGCCCCTTGCCCGGCAGGAGGCCCCAGGGCCACACGCCCCTCCCGGATGGCCCCAGCCTTGCTCCTCTGGTCCCGGCTCGCCGCATCCCGCCGCCCGGCACCAGGCCTCCCGCGGCGGGTCGCCCTCGCATGCTGCGACATCGGGCCGACCACCCCCTTTCGAGCTGCGTGCAAATTCCACACTCTATAGGACTCGTTTGCTTGATGCGCCCATCCAAGAGGCGCGCGCCATTCCGCCAATCGGCCGTGCTAAAGAGACTGTTGACGACAGTAGTGGTATTACTACTGCTCGAAGTCGCCGTCGTCGTCGGCGTCGTCGCCGTCGAAATTAATAGCATGGTGGTCTGCATTCGTATGTGTGGCCTCGAGTCTGGATTGTGGGCATCTTGAAATCATACTCGAGCGTCATGCAGGCCTCTTATAGGCATCTCGGGGGCCCCTATCGGAGGCGAATTGACTTGCTGTTCACTCGCGGAGCTTCTCCTCAATCTCGGCGTTTGCTGTCCCTGGGGGCATCAAAACATGACCCAGGATGGCAAACTGGCCCAAGGGCAAGCGTCGCCTGCTCTGCGGGGTCGACGGGCTCCACGAAACCAATTCGCCGGCGGTCTGGGCACGAGACACTGGGGCGACCTGAGCCCCCGCCGATCCCGAGACCGCCGCGAATCCAAGCGCGCGGGCCCCCCTGAGATTTCCTTCTGAGCTCATTCGGCATCCGAGCCCGTTCGGCTGTCGCATGTAACCAGCCCCGAACTTATCCCTATCCCTAAGATGGGCGAGCAAAAAGCGAGGACAATCTTAGGGACAGGCCCTCGGAAACTGAGGGAATCCTTAAGATCGGCATCGAGGTGAGGTGATGTCAAACATAGGGGTAGGGATATGTTTCAAACTGGTAAGCATGGACATGAGGCTAGGCCCATCCGGCTGCCCTCCTGGAATCTCAGCCAATCCGGTTACCGCTTTGGCAGCCGTGCAGACTCAGGCGCCGCACGGGCTCAAGAATGACCCAAACCCGTCCTCGTAGGGCTGCTCGAAGTTCCCGCCGGCATCGGGCGGCGCCATCCAGAGGTTCAGGGCGAGGTGGCCGCACGTGCCTGGCCAGGAGCGCTCGGAGGGCAACGTCCATGGAGAATGTTCGCAAGGCGGGGGTAGAATGGGAAGCTTGAGACGCACGCAAGGGGATGCACATGCGGGACATGCGGAGGCCAGACGCTGGATACACGTGTAGATGACCAGCGTGCCCTTCTACACAAGGGCCAAGTGATGGAAAACTATGCGCATGTGATTCCAGCTCTCGCCCAGGCTGGTCACATCATGTGTGTCCAGTTCTCTGGTAGTTCGACAGGGCGCCAGGAAAACATGAGCAACACATTGGTGCCCGCTTGTTTGTTTCTTTGCTTGTTTGTTTGTTTCTTTGTTTGTGTGTGTGTGTGTGTCACTCTGTCCCCCTTCCACCTCCTCCGTGAGAGATGACCTCATGGAACCAGCTGGCGGGCAAGTACAGGACGTCTCCAGCTTTCAGCCTCGCTGTGAGGTGACGGCCCCTGAGAAGATCTGGCACAGGTGGAAGTCCAGCGTCACCTTCTGTGGCTCGCGAAGAATAGGCTGCAGATGAAAAGCGTGGATTCGGAAGACCATGGGAACCGACGACGACGACAGGACGCGACAGAAGCCAGCGCCAAACAAGCTCCGTGTGTAATGCACGGACATCTGGCCACGATTCGAGGAGTGACTCAACCTGCGCCCCAGTTAGGAAGTCCCGCGGACCGATCTCCACGACCCTGTGAGGAGGCGGTGCGTGGCCCCCTCCATGCGGCGCGGGATCCCGAGGAAGAGAAGGAGAGAAAGAGAGAAAGAGAGAGAGAGAGACGAAACGCTTCGCTGCCTCTTCGCCCTGCCTCCGACCCTCGACGCCCCCGAACGGGGCACGCACGTCGCTCTCGGCGGCCAATGGCGAGAGCGACCCTGGGGCAAGAGCGCCCCTATTTTTTGGTGCGCGGCTGGCCGATCGTTGCAACAGCAGCGGCCTGCGTGCTCGGAAGTTCCCCCCCCCCCCCCCGCGCGCCCCGCGAATGCTGCGCACCCGTGGCCACTCCGCCGAAGGGCCACGATCTTGCGTTCGGCGGCTGGTCGGGACGATTCGTGCACCCCTGGGGCGCTCTCGGCGAGGCGCCGCTGCTGGATTGCATCCAGGGTTACGTCGGAGGGTTTCTCCGAAGGGCTTAGGCGACCCGTCCTCCTCCTCCTCCTCCTCCTCCTCCTCCTCCTCCTCCTCCCCCTCTCCTCCTCCTCCTCTTCCTCCTCCATCTTCTCCTCCTCCTCCCCCTTCTCCACACTCCACATTCTCCTCCTCCTCCTCCTCCTCCTCCTCCTCCTCCTTCTCCTCCTCCTCCTCCTCCTCCTTCTCTTCCTCGGGTCGCCTGCGGCCCCGGGGGGAGGACCACATTCCAGAAACAAGTTCGAGCACCCAGAAAGGTATCGACACAGTGTCTGCCCGACACGCTGGCGAAGTGTCGAACAAGGATCGCCCATGGCCCGACACCTGAAAACCCTGCAGTTTCGATATTTCCTCGGTGCTCGAAATTCTTTCTGGTGATCAAAGGGAAAAAAAGTTGGAACATCATAAATCCAAAAGGAAGAAAGCCTCCAGGAACCGACGACGACGCCCGAAACCTTCAGGAACACGTAGCCGATGATCCCGATGAGGTCTCCCTCGAGACGGCCCCAGGGTCGTCGGCCGAGCGGGGCCGAGGCGATGCCGCCGCGGCCGCCGCCGCGCAATGCGATGCATCCCCAGACAGGCATCCCCAAACATGGCCCTCCAGCACGGGGTCACCAGCAATCCTGACGCAATTCCCCATCCCCTCCCGAGGCCGATGTCTCGTCGCGAGCCGCTTCCGTGGCGGTCCCGGGGCAGGGCCCCCGCGAGGGGCCGACACGGGCCAGGAAAACACCCCCCGCCGTGAGATTCCTCGCCACGACGCGACCATGTCCCGGCCCCGCGCCTCCTGGCCCCGCGGTGGCGCTGACCGTGCAGAAGCTGTCCGGGAGCCCGGCGCTCGCGGCGCTCGCGCCCGGCCGCGCCCGCCGCCTCTTCCGAGCTGGCCCGCGCGACCAGGCCTCCTTGAAGGAGCCCCAGGACACACAAATACATCCACACAAATTAAAATAGGCCCCATATTTTCCCATATTTTCTGGGTTTTTGTCTTCCCCCCCCCACTTCCCATCTTTCCCCATATTTTCTGGGAAATCGACGATTAATTGTGTCTGTGTTTTTTCCCCTCCTGACTCCTGCAGCGCCCTCTCCAGGTCCGCCTCCTCGTCCGACTCGTCCGCGGCCGCTCCGCCGCCGGCGCCGGCCGCCACCGCGCCGCCCCCGCGCCGCCGCCACTCCTGCACCACGGCCTGCCGAAGGGGCGCAGCGCGGCGTTCCCCGGAGATGCCGGCGTCGCAGCATGCTGCGAGCCCTGCGTCTGCGCGCGAGTTCGGGCCCCCAGGGATCCCCACAGGCCGATCCCGGCTCGAGAGCTGTGACAGAAGGAGGGGGTCCGTGGCCCCTGTCGTGATTTTTGTTCGATGCTGCAACTTCTCAGCGTCCTCGGATCTCGGGGTCCGTCCTCGCCCTCCCCTCATCTTTGTCACCCTCCCGCCTCCTCCCCGATAGATCTCCCCTCCGAGAGACGGGCCAGCCTGCCGCTTGCTGGGCTGGCCGCTGGGTAGACGATGGAACGGACAGGCTGTGCTCGGTATGACTTGACACGCTGTCCAGCACAAGGAACACACACACAGCCTTTCCTGAAGATCCTCGCAGAGGCCGCTGCGAAGACACCCCTCAGTCACAAGGTCCCGATCCTGGCCCGCTGAAGCTCTCCCCGACCAGAGCACACCGTCACGCGGAAAAAAACATCATGATTCCAAAAAGCCGCGCTGCACGCTTTGGCTTCGAGTTGACTCCTGAGTTGACGCAACCCCCCCCTTGGGGTCAACTCCGCTGGGTAGGGCAATCCCAGAACATTGTGGCAGCGGCAATTGCTCTTCACACGCTGGCAAGGTTCGCCAAAATCGGCAGGACGCACGTCTGGTGACTTGAGACTGTGCCGGCCGTCCAGAGGATGCCCATAGGTCACCAAACTTCGCACATCGCGCCCGGCGATGCGCGGAATTCTTCGCGCCCTCGCGATGCGGCCCTGAGGAAGGGCAGCTCTCCAGTCCAGGCGGGCGACGCGCGTGTACCTTCGCGCCCCTGGCGGTGCCCAGATGTCCCTACGAGGGGCAAGGAGGTACCGCCGTCGCGCTCGCATGTGCCAGACTGCTGTGAGAAATCGCAACTGACTCAATACGTGCAGTGGTCGTGTCACTGTTGGTCGCCCCGTGCGATGCACACAAACACAGTCTGCAGGCTAGGATCCAATGCTCTTGGTGTCTAACCTCATCCACTCACTCGCATCAATTATGCGATATCGCCGCCCCACCTCTGCGAGGCTGGCGAGGTAAGCGCTTCGCATGTGCGTTCGTATGAGTTGGGTCCCACATGCCAAACAGACTTATGACTGCACTTGCTCTGATCGCCCGTGCCCGCCGCCGGTATATGCAGCCACTGTCAGCGCCCTGCCTGCACACACCATCTAGTTCGATACAGTTTGTCGCGCGCTGGATCCATTCTTGCCGTGGTTCCACGGCGTTTCTGGGGGAGCTCGGGATCGATGGCATGGTGGTGCCACTGCTGCCACGTCGGAGGGGGCCCTGCCAGCCAGTGTGGTCGCACGTGTGGAGGCCGCGCTGTTGCTGCCGTTGCTAACTGCCGTGTTGCCGTGGTGCGACGCAGAGGTGGCGCCGCCGGCCTGGTGCTCCGCGCCCGAACCAGCAGCTGGTCTCTGGGGCGCGGCGTCGTGCAGATCTGAATCCATATGTTGGGCGCCCGAGTTATCCGGGGTAACTCGGGTCCGGGGTAACTCGGGTTCGGGTTCCCGAAAAAGCGAACCCGAGTTAGCCCTGACCCGAATTAACCCTGATGATTCGGGGCTCTGGGCGCCCGAGTTATCCGGGGTAACTCGGGTCCGGGATAACTCGGGTTCGGAATCCCGAAAAACGAACCCGAGTTAGCCCTGACCCGAGTTACCCCTGATGATTCGGGGCTCTGAATATGAGCATGTACTGGGGCCCCGTAAAGCGGCACCAACGCCAACACAGGGGGGTACCTCCAGCGAGAGACGGTGATCCTAGACTTTGGTGCCGGTGTCAACGGTAGGATTTCGGCCACCTATAGGAAGCCCGCAGATTGCCGCCGTCACCGAGGTCGGGAGCATCTTCCCTCGGTGGAGGCACGCCGCCGAGATTGCTGTTGAGGTTCGCTTTTCTAGGCGTCAGAGAACAGTGTGGCGCTGCGTGGATCGCAACAGTGCGGTCAGAAATGCTCGCTTCGCATGTCGCCGCGGCTGTCCCGGCGACGCGCTACGTCGTGCAAGCGGATGGCGCGTCGCTCCGCTCCGCGGGGCGGGAGGCTGGGGAGGGGCTCGGGACGTCGACGCCTGGAACCCGGGACGTGGACAGCGTGTCGCGCCGAGGCGAGGCGAGCCAGAACCGGCGGAGCGACACTGCTAAGCCAGCGTTGCCGACCTGAACTCTGCGTGCTCGGGAGCACAACGCCGCTGAAGAGAGATTCAGACCCCGTGCCAGCAGATCCGAAAGGAGTGCCGTGGTGTCCCAAACGCTTCAGCATACTACCGTAGATAGAGTTGTTACGAATAGAGTGCACGTCGGGAATTGCGAATGCACGCTATACGGCCAAGTAGTGCACGCTAATCCCACCACCCCTTTAAGGCAAGAGTAAAATAGTGGGTTTCCTCGTTCCCCCCCCCCGCTTCCCTTTCGGGGAGTGGTTTACCCCTCCCCCTACCCCCCCCCCTTGGTGGCAACTCATGGGAGCCTGCCGTATCATCGTGTCGGCTCGTGTGGATAGACGCTAACCGAGGCTAAATCGACGATAGATCGATGCTGACGATAGATCGATGCTAATCGACGCTAGTCGACGCTGGATCGACGCTGGATCGACGCTAATCGACGCTAAATCGGCACTATCTCATCAACTACCAGACGCTCATCGACTCTAAAGACGGAGTTGAGAGGGCACACCAGGCTCCCATGATTTGCTACCGAACCCTCCCCTGGGTTCTGGGGGGGGGAGGAGAAGGCAACGATCATTCATGTTACTATGCTGGTGGGCCAGTGCTGGCCGCCAGGGGGATGCTCTAATTGACTACCTCCCCCTTCTCGGCTCGATCCAAAATGGCTCGAAGATGGCCCTAAGATCGCCCCGGGAAGGCCCGAAGTCCCCCAAGGGCGCCACAAGAAGGCACCGAGAGGTGCTGGGGAGGCCCCAAGAAGCCCCCAGGAAGTCTTAAGAGGCCCCCAGAGACCCCCAAGATGCCCCAGGAGGCCTCCCTGAAGCACCCAAGACGCTCCAAGAGGCCCCCGAGGCCGCCAAGTGGCTTCCGAGACGCCCCAAGAGAACTCTGAGAAGCCTTCCAGAGACATTCGAATAGACTCCGAGAGGCATCCAAGAGGCCTCTGGCCTTGCTGCTCGACCTCCTCCTCCTCGTCCTCCTCGTCCGCCTATTCCTCCTCCTCCCTTCCTCCCTTCCTTCCCCTCTCCCTACTCCTTGTCCTCCTCCATCCTCCCCCTCGACGTCTTACCCAGCCCTTTATTCAACTGAATGCTCTTCCACATCCTTGATCAAAGCAACTCGTTTGGGAGTCGTGTTTGGATCGGCTGGTAGGGTTACGAGAAGCGTCTAGGATCCCACCAGCCCTCCAGGGCGTGAGTGGTTCACTGGGGTTCCTCTTCCAACCCCCCTACTTCCCCTTCGGGAAAGGGTTCATAGCTATTCCCCATCAGTGAACACCCCCGCCAACATGCGACTGGCAGCCATCCAGGACCAATGAGGATCCCCCCCACCGTCCCTGTAACAAAACAATGCGCAAACAACTTTGAAAAATAATCTTGGGTCATGATCGGGGGGGGGGCGCGAACACATTGTATACTGTTTTGAACATGGCGGCGGGGGTGCCGGCACATTGCCTGCTGCGCGCAGGGCCAGCATCCCTGTCGAAGAACAAGGCACCATGCACTTCGAGGCAAACTCTGGATCATGCGCGGGCACCCTGCGATCACTGTGCATCGGTTTGTGAATGGGACGGTGGGGGTGCTAGCATATTGCCTGCTGTGTGCAGGCCCACCAGACGTTATGATGGCCACCCCGCCGCGACTGCGCACTCGTTTTCGACAAGGGTGGTGGAGGCCGACACGTTTCTCGATGTGTACTGCCACGTGCGCAGGCGCACCTGGCACACTCTGCGCGTGCCCCGAACGTGGCGCACCTGGCACGGCTGGAGCATGCGGCACACATGGCACACGTGGATCACACAGCGCATCTGGCGCACCAGGCTTGCCTGGGTGCTACTGATGTAGTTGGAGGACGGGTGGGAGTGAGCGATACAGCTTGTCTGCGGAGAGGGTGTCTTGACCACTCTTCCGTATTAATGAACACCTCTCCCTCATGCGACTGGCAGCCAACCAGGATCAATTAGGGCCCCCTACCATCCCTGTCAAAAACCATGTAAAATCTACTTGGGGGCAGTTGGGTCATGATCGGGGGGGCGCGAGCACTTCGTATTGATTCTTGACAGGGACGGCGGGGGGCCGACATATAACCTGCTGTGATCAACGAACAACACACACACGCACACACACACACATATACGCATTCAAACTTATAGGGAGGAGGAATGGGGAAGGGCAAGGCGATGAACGCGCTACAGGAATGGGTGCGAGTTGTCGGATCCCGAGGGTGGTTCTCGCTCGAGCGACGACCCCCCTCCGACAACACGCACCCATAGCTCCCCCCAGGACTACACCTCAGGAATTCCCAGCGACGTATAGGTATGGGTGTCAATTGTCAGCTCGTGATGCTGCGCGCAGCGCTAGCTTTCCTGTCACGAAAACGGGACAACATGCACGTCGAGACAAAATCTGAATCATGCGCGGGCACCCCGCGATCACTGTGAATCAGTTTTTGTCTGGGACTGCACAGGAGCTGGCATATTGCCTGCTATGTGCAGGCCCACCAGACACTATGATGGCCGCCCTGCCGCGATTGCTCATTGGCTACAAGGGTGGTGGGGGCCGACACGCTTTCCCATGTGTACTGCTACGTGCGCAGGCGCACCTGGCACACTCTGCGCGTGTCCCCAACGTGGCGCACCTGGCACGGCTGGAGCATGCGGCACACATGGTGCACGTGGATCACACAGCGCATCTGGCGCACCAGGCGTGCCGGCCTGGCGCACCTGGCGCGCGTGGCGCGCCTGCCACACCTGGCGCACCTCGCCCCAGCAATGCACACACGGGATATGTTTTGGTTCTCATTATCCGTCCATTCAAAGACTACCGCTGAACACGTTGCTGCCTGGATGCTACTGATGTGTTGGGAGGGCGTGTGGGAGTGAGCGAGATGGCTTGCGGGAGGGGAGGGTGTCTTGAGTTCTCCCTCGTCCCCCTCCCCCTGGACCTGGACGGGGCGCCCCGCTGGGTGTCAGAGCGTCCAAGGTGACCTCGGCGAGAACACCAACAACATGGAATATCCGAAGGTTTGGGGCCAATGTTGGCCTCCTGGGGGAGGGGGCGCTAATTGGAACCCCGCTCTTCTTTCATCGAGCACCTCCAAGATGTCCCCAACATGGCCCCCGAGGCTCCCAAGAGTGCCCCAAGAGGTGCCCAGGAGGCCCCAAGGGGGTTCCAAGCGTGCCCCCAAGATGGCCCAAGAGGCTCTCAAGAGACCACCAGGAGGCATCCAAGACACTTCAAGGGGCCCCCGAGGCCGCCAAGAGCCCCCCAAGACTCCCCAACCAGCCTACAAGAAGCTCTCCAGAGGCATCCGAAGAGACTCCGAGAAGCATTCCAGAGGCCTCTCTGGCCTTTCTGCTCGCCCTTCTCCTTCTCCTCCTTCTCCTCCTGCTGCTCCTCCTCCTCCCACTCCTCCCTCGTCCCTCCTCCTTCCTCCCCCTCCCTCTACGTCTCTCCCTCCTCCTCCTCTTCCTCCTCCTCCTCCTCCTCCTCCTCCTCCTCCTCCTCTGGTTCCTCCTCCATCCTCCCCCTCTTGTGGTGCGACTACTTCCCAGCCTTCCTTCCGCTGAGTGATCCCCCACATGCCTGATCAGGGCAACTCGTCTGGACGTCGTCTCTTGATGGGCTAGTGGGGATACGCGGAGCGTCTAGACTACACACATACTATATATATACATACACAAGACTGGGTTGGCGCTTCGCGCCTCGCACCTTGGTCTTTCAAGCTTTGTATCTGTTGGCACTTGGCGTCGTCCTTAAGATTGGCCGTTTCCTTTCAAGTTCCCTGACCCATTCCTTATTTGCTCTCGCCCTCGATTGCTCGTGCGCCACCGGAATTTTTCTTGGGGTGCGTTGTGATTCGGATTTCGAGGCATAGCCGACGACGTGACGGCGACGATGACGCCACCTGGAGGCTCCGAAGAAACGTTCAATCAAAATCGCGTGCACTCTTCGCTGGATCCTGCGCCGGCAAGTGTCGTAACGGCCTGCGCGTCGACTGCTGACACCGCTTTGATCGATCAACCGTGAACAATCGCGCATTCCCGTTCAACACCGGCCGATTCCTGACCACTGGCCGCGCTCATTCCAAATGCCCGCGCCGGTGTCGCCACCGCGCCGACACGACATAAACCTACCGCTATTGAGAAAAAGCTGTTTCTTGGAGTCGTTTTCTCCACTCCAGGAGAACCCACACCTCCGAAGATTGATTGCAGAAGCTCCAAGAAGCCTGGCGGCTTCCAGCCGCTCCCAACGGCAAACAAACAACAAATAGATGAGCCATCGTAGACCTCGAATGTTGAGGTTTGAACTCTGGCGGTGGAAGCTCTGCAGCTCAAACTATGTGATTTGAGCGAAGTTGTTGCAACCATGTGGTGTGAGCTATGCGGTGATGCTCTTCGGTGTTATCTGTGCGGTGGTAACTATGTCGTGTAAACTATGAAATGCAGGCGATGTAGTGGAATATACCAGATGTTAAGCTACATAATGCAGGACAGGTGGTATGAATCATATGTTGGGAACATCGTTGTGGAAACTATGCGAAGAGAAAAGACCGGTGTAGGCTATACGTATGGCGTGGGGCTTACGAGCGCCCACGATGCAGCATGGGCGGGCACGACTTTTGCGGAGGCTCCCCCTTGGAGAACCTCTGGCGGGCCTTACGAATGCCTTTCAAGGTCTTTGGGGACCTCTGGAGGCCTCCTGGGCGCCTCCCTGGGCCCTCTTGGGGGTCCTCTTGAAGCCCGTTTGGGCAGTCTTGGGTCCCTCCTGGGCCGTGCTGGGGCCTTCTTGGGGAACTTGGAACCTCTACGGGCCTTCTTGGGGTCATCTTGGGCCCTCCTGGGGACGTCTCATGGCCCTCGTTGGTCTCTCTTGAGAACTTTTGGATTCCTCGTGAACTTCTTTTGGGCCGTCTTGGGGCAGTCTTGGAGCCTTTTTGGGCTGACATGAAGCCCTGTTGGGGGCCTCTTGGGCCCGCTTGGGGCGATCTCGGAGGCCTCTTGGGCCGTCGTGAACGCTGCTACGACACAGAAAGCGAATATGCTGAAAATACACGTGTTCCCTATGGAATGGGAAGACTTGTGCCTCTTGGGGACCCTCCTGAAAGCCTCTTGAGGCCTCTTGGGCAGTCTTGAGGGCCTCTTGGGCCGTCTTGAGGCCGTCTTGTGCTGTCTTGGGACTCTCCTGTCCCTCTTCGACCACTTCTCTGATCGCTTTGGGGGGACCTCTCCCACAAGGGCGTCCAGGGGGCCCCAAAGCCTCGGATCCCGAGGAGTTCGGATTTTTTTGTTTGTAGGGGTGGAGGGTGTTTCCCGACCCCCCGAGCTTGCAAAAATAGAGAAAGAGGAATCGATGTGTACAGGGAGAGAGAGAGAGAGAGAGAGACAGAGAGAGAGAGAGGAGAGAGAGAGAGGGAGACAGAGAGAGAGAGAGAGAGAAACGAAACAAAGAAACGACAAAAATAACGACAAGAGCGACATACAGAAATATGTGCCCATACAATTTCCGTGGGCAACTGCGCTGCCGTCCACAAATGGGCAGTGTGTCTGATCTTCCGAAGTAAGCTTCCAAACCGTTTGGCTGCGCAGCGCTCATAGCATCCCGTATCTTACTTCTCAAATGCCTGAGCGAAGCTGGCACCCTGGAGTACGATCCTCAACCGAAGGCTTGCATGCTAGCCGTAGTTGTGCATTGCCAGCTGTACGCCATACTGCCTTTCGGCACCCTTCGCGTGACGTTTGCCGACGACGAACTCAGACAACCGATTCAACAACAATGAGCTCAGCGGGTCCCGTGTCTTCCGCGGCTGAAGTTGGACACGTCGCTACGCGCGTCCGTTCACGTGCACGTACGTGGCGGGCCGAATGCGCCTTTGTGGAACACGATGTGTGCTCGCGTCCGCGGTGCCCGACCTCTCCCAGGGCGCGATTCCTACCAGGACGCCACGCCCGATCCGGAGCACGGCGCCCTCCCCGAAGCCAGGAATCAGCCCAACGTTTCAAAATCCTGCCTCCTCCGTCCTCCCTCGTCCACGGTCAGAGCACCAGCGCCGCGATTCTACCTCTGCAGCGGGCCCAGGAGCTCTGTTCCATGGTCCAGGGGGCCGAGCTGGGCCAGAGAAGGCCGAAGACAAGCAGCCACAACTGTTTCGATGCTGCTTCTCGTGACGCTGCAGATCTCGGTCCGCCCCCCCCCCCCTCCAGGAGGCGATTCCCCCGACCTGTCCAGGTGTGTGCGCGGGCGTGCTGACCAGAATGTCAGGAGAGGCATCCAGGCACGGCGGCGAGGGCCCCCCGAGAGGCCCAGGGTAGGCCTGTTGAGCCTCGCTCCTAGACCCTCCGCCGCCCTTGGAGTCTCGGCCCCCTTTCCTCGCCCCGCCCCATGGGGCGACGAGTCTATACCTAGACCCCCGACGTCATGACTTTTTCATTACGCCGACCCCCCGAGGCCTCGACCCATTCTCCGGGACCGGCGTTTCATCCCGCGTCGTTTTTGGACGCTCCCTGGGCCCGGTAAGGGCCCCAGGAGGCCGAAAATGGCGAAACACCTCCCGCTGTGATTTTCTCGCTACTCGAGGAGGTCTAGGCCCAGTAAGGGCCCCGGGAGGCCGAAAATGGCGAAACACCTCCCGTCGCGATTTTTTCGTTGCTCGAGGAGTCCTGGGTACTTGCATATCCACTGCCCCTGGCCATTCCCATTCTGGGCCCGGGAGCTGTGCGTGCGTACGCCCTCCTGGCTTGGTCCAGGAGGCACATGCACCGCTCCGGGGCACAGGATGGGCCTGGCCAGGGGGGGGTGGACGTGTAGTAATCTTTCGTCGGGCGTGTCCCTGGACAGGAGGACTGTTCAAAATAGTAAAAAATTAAATGGGGACAGATGTATTACAACTATGTATGATACTTTTGCTCGACTTCTTGGACTATTGATTACTTGTCCTCCCAAATGCGCCTGTGGGAGGACACGCCCGACCTACAATCACCCTCGACGCCCCACTGCAGCGGCCGCCTCGGGGGCGCCGTCGTCGCGGACGCCAGGCTGGTAGCAGAGGGCCGAGGAGCAGGGCGTGCCATGAGCACAAACTTCCGGAGGCCCACGCTGCTCTCTTGCATCGGCGCTGGACCCCCCGGTCCCTGGCGCGCGAAGCGCCCCAGGACGGCGCTCGAGGCCCCGCCGAGGGGGCTCCGGCACCGATCCAAGAACTCTGCGCCGACCTCCGCAGTGCCCATGTGTGCACGCAAGCCTCGGCTCCTCGGGATGAGGCCGTTGCTCCGCAGCAGCGGCGGCCCGGCGCCGCGACCGGCACCCGCGGGCGCGAGCAGGTCCACGCAGCGCGGGCTGAAGAGGCGGAACTCCTCGGCGGCGGCGGGCGGCGACGGCGCCCCGCCGGCAGCGGCAACGACGAGCAGCAACGGCGACAGACGACGAGCGACATGCGACGACGCCGACGAAGAGGTCGGCGAAGCCTGGGCTACGGGGCGAGGCCCCAGCCACATGTGAGACCAGCCCGTGATCTTGCCCTTGCTCAGGGCGCGGCTGCGCGAATCAGGGCCCGGCGCAGGAGGGGGGGGCCCAGAGGACACGAGGGCGTACGCGGGGCAGTGAACCAAACCCGAGCGAGTTTCTGTTTTGCTGCCCACCCCAGGGAGACTTCTCGCACATGGCCATGTGAATCGGGTCAGAATCGATGCCCAGACCCTGCGCGGAGCCCCTCGTGGCGAGCGCTCCGAGCTGCGCCGGGGCGCGGCGACGAGAACCCCAGCAACGCTCCAAAAATCTAATCCGACGGGAGCCCCAGAAACGTTCCGGAACGGAAACTGTATGAATCCAGTGCCTGGAGGCCGGTGGAACGCCAATCGAGGCTCGGACACGGATATCACCGCCGCCCTCGTCAGACAAGGAATCCTCTAGGGTCTGAAGCCTCCTGGGCATATCCCAAGGACCAACGCCCCAACCCCGGACCCCCGACGTCCCTATGTCTTCATTGCGTCGACCCCCGCGAGGTCTTGACCCATTCCCCGGGGCCGGCGTTCCGTCCTGAGTGGCTTTGCGAACGGGATCCCGAGGCCTGGTAAGTCAGGGCCCCCGGATCCCGATCGGGGCTCTTCTGACCCGGGTCAATCCAGACCCGGGTCAGCAGGAAACGAAAAACTGCAATGCAGGAAACAAAAAAACTGCAGCGCATGGCTTCGCAAACCCGGGTCAGCCAATGGGGCGCGGCCGCCCCGCGGCCACGAGCGGCTCGCTAACCCGGGTCAGCCAGAGGGGGTCTTCGCAGGATCCTGCAGGATCCGGCGCCCTGGCTGACCCCCGTCTGCATTGACCCCCGTCTCAAGGCTCCTTAAGAGCGAAACACCTCCGGTCGCGACTTCGCCCTGGCTCGAGGGGGTCTGGGGCTGGAGCTGCTTTGTCCAGCGCCTCCCGGCGCCGGACGCGCCAACGTCTCGTGGCAAGGCGCCCGGCGGCGGGGCCGGCATCGGCTGCATGTCCCCGCCCCCCCCCCCCCTTGGCCTGGTCGTCCGACCCATCAGCGCGGCCGCCCGGCCGCAGGTGGGGCCCCGAGAGGGCCGCTCGGGACGGCGCTGGCGCGTCGCAGGTAGGACTGTGAGGATGGCGACCTACCCCCAGCCCAACCCGAAGATCCGAAGTTCGAGTTGGGGGGGGGGGGCGTTTGTTCAGTGTTCCACGGCCCACCCCCCCCGCTGGAAGTGGAGGGCACCTCGGGGCCTTCGGGTTGGGTTGGGGTGATTCGGTGGGCAGTGAAACAGGGACCCCGAGGAGCACAGCGGCTGGAGAGCGCACCCCACCAGAACCCCCGCGAGCCATGAACAAATCGTCAAGGCGGGAGGTTCTTCGCTATTCTGAGGTCGGGCATGTCCCCCTACAAGCAGATTTTGAAGGACAAATTTAAAAGAGTCGCTCAAGTATTGAAGCATTGCCAAAACATAATGGTAGCATCGTCCCCTGACTCTGTTTTTTTACAATGTTTAGGTACTCCAGCTTTAAAAGGACACGCCCGACTTGATGCTATTCTGAGGCTCGGGGGGCCCTTAATCACTGGGCCTCGGGACCGTCAACAACGCCACGCAGGACGAGAAAAAACTTGTCCCGGAAAATGGGGAATGGGTCAAGACGTCAGGGGGTCGACGTCATGGACAGATCATGACGTCGGCAGCAGGACCCTCCTCCGATCCTGGCAGCCGACGCCGTGGGAAGCAGGCAAGGTGGCCAAAATATCCGCCGACCCCTTGTGGGTCTCCAGGCGTGTGAGATCGTTCCCCCTCCCATAATCCCCCCCAGGGACCGCAAACCGGAATTTTGACACACACACCCCGGCCCCGGGTGGCCCCGGACCGAACTCACCCTGGGCGGTATGGGCTCCCTGGGCCTGCTCTTGAGCTGCACGACAGCACTTGGGCTGCACGACAGCACTTGACGCTTCTCAAGAGTCCGCCGAGACGGTCCACGAGAACCCAAAGTCGCCGAAAGACCGTTCCGAGACGGCAAAACACCCCACGAAGCCTCCAAGAGATCTCCCAAGAAACCCACCAAAAACCAACATTTTGAAACTTCCGTGAGAAAGCACGCATTTTCAGCATATCCAACTTGTAAATCTTCACGGCGTTGAAAGCCGTCCACGAGGCCCCAACGAGCCCTGAAGGACCACCCCAAAACGGCCCACGAGGCTCCCAGGAGACCCCAAAGACAACCCAAAATATCTCCAGGACGGCCCAAAGAGAGCTTTGGACGGCCCAAGAGAGCTCCGAGACGGCCCCAAGAAAGGCCCAAGAGAAGGACCACGAACCGCGAATTCCAGCGCTCCGCCCAACGAAGCTCTCCGGAGGACCGAAGAGGCCCCCAAACGGCCCCAAAAGGCCTCCATGAGGCACTGGAGAGGCCCCAAGGAGCGCTCAAGAAACCCCAAAGTTGCCCCCAAACGGTCCCCAAGACCCTTAGAAACTGCCTCGTCGAGGCCCGCGAGAATCCTCGCCACGAAATCCCAACGGACATCCCAAAGCACGCCACACACGATTTTGAACTTGACGCATTCTTGCTACTTTTCCTCGCCGCAGCTTCGGAATTCTGCCCGACATTCTGCCGAACGCATTGGACGTTCGAGCCGCGTCTAGCCGCGGCGACGGGTACCCGCCGAAGGTGAGGCCTCCTTCTCCGTCTCATCAATCCGCCATTTCCTTATATGTTTCCTTCTTTCCTTTCTCCTTTTCCCTCCGCCACGCGAGAGCACGACTTGGAACGAGTGGATGCGCGGAAATGAAGCCAGAGTTGCAGCGAAAACGCGATTCGAAACAAGCAGAGGCATGGAAACGAGGCCAGCGCAGGGCTCCTCCTTTGCCTTCTCGCTCTCCTCCTCCATCCCCATAGGTCCCGCCCGGACCTGACCCGCCCCTCACCCCCGCGGATCCGAGCATCAGCGCGCTTCAGCGGGTCTCACGCGCACGCCTTGCACTTGAACGTGCGTCTTTCGATGGCACGCGCGAAATGCGGTCCAACCGCGAACTTCGACTTCGGGAGTTTCTTTTGGCAAGCGCCGAAACACTGGAACACTTGCCAACTGCGCGCCGTGAAGCCGTCGGCAATGCAACCCGCGCGTGCAACTTTATTTTGCCTCGTGAAGTGTTTGCTCTCTTGTTCGTCGCTGATGTGCTGCTGCCGAGCGAACTCCTTCTCGCACGCTGCACAAGTCAACAATCGCTTCAACCGCTTCGCAACATCGGGCGCGATCCCGCGGTACGCGTCGCGCGGATTGGTTACGCGCGGGGCATCCCCGGAAATGCCGCGGGTACGAATATGTTTGTCGCCCACGGAAAGGATTTTTGACACCCTCGGCGTGCAGCGGGAAGCCGTCTCCGAGCCCACGGGGGGCCGCCAAGGAACAAATCGGGACGAAACGCGGGTCCCGGAAAATACGAGAACAGCAACGAAGCAACAGGAACGATGTCGAGCGCCGTGTCATGATTCGGACACGCCTCGTGGAATGCAGTCCTGGAGGCGCAAAAGTTTCTAGAGGGGTCGGCGGATGTGGCGTAAGCCTATAGAATCCACGTCCGGAAGGGACGTGCTGAGCGGCAGCGTTTTCAGCGGAGGCGATAATGCAACGTACACAGTGTATCCAATTGTTGCAGAATTGCCACATATCGTATTGCGTTACATTATCATGTCTCCCCCCCGAACACCCCCCCAATGGCTACGCCTCATCCGTCGACCCAAGATGGAGACCCCCATTTGGTGTTCAAAAACGTACCAAAACCTGTGCAACATCGATGATTCGGGATTTGGGGCCCTCTGGGATCCCCAATAGGGCCTCAAGGCGGCTCCATATGGCTTCAAGACGGACGAGGACGGCTCCAAGACGGTCCATGATGGCCCCAAAAGGGCCCAAGAAACTCCTAAGACGTCCCAAGAGGGCCCCAAGACGACCCCAAGAGTGCCTCCAGAAGCCAAAATCATTAATTGTCATATTTTTTTTGATGATTTCAGCGTTCTCGCCTTTCTCGACTCTCAGAAGCCCATGGCCGCCCAGGCAGCCACCACAATTGTTCCAAAAAGGCACCAGAAGCCCTCAAAAGGGCCCCCAAACGGCCCAGGAGGGCCCCACGACGGCCCAAAGAGGCCCCCAAGGCGGTCCAAAAAAACCCTGGGACGGCCCAAGAGGACCCCAAGAGAACCCCAAGGCGGCCGCGAGAGGCCCCCAAGACGGCCTCCGAAGGGGCGGAACGGCGCAAAAGCGCCCCAAGACGGCCCAAGACGCCCCCAAGAAGCCACGAGAGGCCCCAAGAGGCTCCCAAGGGGCCCCCAAAAAAAAACCCAAGAGGCCTCCAAGAAGTCCCCAAGAAGCCTCCAAGAGGCCTCAAAGAAGCCCCTTCAAGGCCACACAACGACTGGAGTGTAATGTTATTTTTCTCCCCCTGGGCGAACTGCGGCGCAGCGCCAGCCATGTGGAAATTGGTCACGGCGGCGCCCATGATTAGAGCCGGCGCCGGAAGGGAAGATGGGGAGAGAGTATGAAAAGGAGGGGGGGAGAGGCCCCAAAGAAGTCCCCAAGAGGCCCAAAGAAGCTCCCAAGAGGCCTCCAGGAGGCCCCCAGGAGGCTCCCAAGAGGCCCCGCGACGACGTGACTGTACGTGCTCCAGACGTGCACCCCGCGAAGCGAGAGGAATCACGATGGGCGCTCCCGACACCACCTGCATGCTGGATTCTGGACCTCGCCAGCGGGATCGATCCGCACGGGCTCCCGGCGGCTCGAAGCGGGGCAGGGTCGCGCGGTGCCGCTCGCGACGCCCAGAGGGAGGGGAAAGGTTCCCGAAGGCCTTGGGAGCCCGAGGCGAAGCGGAACACTAGAAGGGACCGCGCGGAGTTCTTGGGTCGTCGCGGACCCCCCTCTCCACAGACCCTTCCCTGGCGCAAGGAGCGCGCCGTGGTCGACGCGGAAAGCACGGCAACGGGGTTGTTAGGGAGAGATCCAGCGCCGACCCAAGACATCCGCGCGGACTGCCAGAAGTGTATATCTTCGTCGCTGCTTGGACTGACTGAGGGAATTCGCTCGAGCCTTTTTTGGTTAGCAAAACCTCTGGGGCTTCGAGACCATAAACAAAAACGACTCCAGATGAAAATCGTGTGCTGGGGAAGGGGTCGAGACCTTTGGGGGCCAACACTATCAAAAAATCCTGATGTCAGGGGTCTGGGTTCTGGTGCCACGGAAATTGTTCTTTTATCCATTGTGGGTAACACGTGGTATCCCAGGATGATAACGGCGACCGCGGCATGCACCCGCGAGGGTGGGTCCGCGCCACCAGCACATCAATCGCCTGTGTGCGCCACAGTCCCTGCGCACATGGCAATGCCCAAAGCATGCATACCAATCCCTGTGTGCGCGACAATGCTCAACGCCCCCTTGCAACACAGCGCCGCCTGCGTAAACCACCAGTGCCGTACACCACAGCAGCCGTGCGCAACCGCCTGTGTAAACCAACTTGCCTGTGTACACTGCAGCAGCCGCGTGCGCCACAGCGCCTGTGTACACTACAGCGCCGGCGTGCACCATAATGCTTGTACACCACAGCGCCTGTGTACACCACAGGTCACCACAGCAACCATGTGTACCACAGCGCCCGTGCACACCACAATGCCTCCGTGCACCACAACGCCTGAATGTAAACCACAACCCCAAACGTGCCAGTGGGCACAATAGTAGCTTGCGAGCACCACGTGCGCCAGGGGCGACCGCATGGCAGAATGGCGCAAGCCTCTTACTTCAATGCCGGCAACAGCAGGAGCTGGCAGAGGACAGGCGGAGCCTTTTTGCGGGGCTCGCCACAGACCGCGGAGGGCCTCAAGACTCGTCATCCACCTCCTCCTCCTTCTCCTCCTCCTCCTCCTCCTCCTCCACCTCCCCCTCCTCCTCCTCCTCCTCCTCCCCCTCCCCTTCCTCCTCGTCCCGTCGTCGCCGCCAGGACCATAAGGCATCGACCCGGAGCGGCCGACTGCGACACAGAGGGCCTACTCGGTCCTGCGGGCCCCTCCTCCTTCCCTTGCTGGTCCCCCTCCTCCTCATCCTCCTCCTCCTCCTCCTCCTCCTCTTCCGCGTCTTCACGGGGCTAACCGCAGACTCAGGAGGCCGTCGGGGCTCGTCCTTCAGGGCTCTCGCGGGGGAGACCTCAACAATGGTCGTGGCCAGGCGTGCACTCGGCCTCCTCCTCATCGTCCTGCCCCTCCTCATCTGACATCTTTCTGCTGCACCGCAATGCTTGCGTCCACCACAATGCCTATGTACACCACAGCGCCTGTGTACACCACAGCGCCTGTGTACACTGTACACCACAGTGCCTGCGTGCATCACAACGCATGTGCACACCGCAACGCCTGTGCCCTCTACGGGAGCGTACGCGTACGCCACAATGCCCGCGTACACCACAGCGCCCGTGTACACCGCAGTACATTGGCCATGCGTGCACGTCGATGCCTGCGTGCGCCAGAGTGCCTGTGTACTCCTTACACTGTCCTTTGGAGCCTGCGAGGGCTCACGCTTGTGGCCGGCTTGCAAGCTTTCTCGTTACGAGGGGCGTGGGCCTTGCGGGGGACACACACGCGCTGATTACCTCTGTGGGGGATCAAAGAACGATCTCACGTCGGCTGCGGTGCGCGTTGGGGGGTCGGAGCGGGCCGTCGGCCAAAGTGGGGGAGGGCGCGGCTGGAGCCGCCTAGGCGACCCCGGAGGCCCTGGACCCCGAGAAAGCCGTCGCCTCGCGCGTGTGCTTCCGCCCGCCCTATGCCCGAGGGCGAGCCGCGCGGAAGGCGAGGCCCTCTCGGCAGCGCGCCCCACCTGGAGCACCGGTGCCGGCACGCCCTTTTCTCCCCCGCGAGGTCGGGGGGGGGGCTCCTTCTCCCCGCGCAGCACCACGTAGAGGTTGTCGTGGAAGTCGTGGTGCAGGCCCGAGGTTGAGCCCTCGGCCGCGCGCCCGAGCCTTGGCCGACGGGTCTTCTTCCACACCCGGACCCCCGACGTAATGATTTGTTCGTATCGGGAGCGGCCCAGAGGGGGGTGTCCAAGAGGGGGGGTGCAAATCATGACCGGCGGCATGTGCGCGGCCCAGCGGGGGGGCCAGGGACGCAATGAAACAAGAGGAGGCGCCATGAGATCTGGGGAAATATCATGGCCCACGCCATGATATCCACCCCCCCCTAGTCATCACCCCCCTCTTTTCCGCCCCCGATCGTAACGTCGACCCTGCGGTTTCGACCTATTCCCCGGGACCGGTTTCTCATCCCTAGTGGTTTTCTGATGGTCCGGAGGCCCGGTAATGGCCCCAGGGCCCGAAAACCGAGAAAAGCATCCGTCATGATTTGTTCAATTGCTCGATCGAGGGGGTCTGGGTAGGTTGCCTGTCTTGTTGGGTCCGGGGCGGGGGGCGATTGGGCTCGGGGCCGGCCGCACGTGAGGGTGACCCCTGCCAAGTTTGACCCCTGGTGCGCGGCCTGAGGGGGTCGCTGCGCGCAGGGCGGCAATGGCGGCCCGCATGCTTGGGACTGCCCACCGCCTCACCGCTGCGCCCGTCGAAAGCCGCGCGCCGGAAGTCACCTCCGGCGAAGGGTCAGTCTTGTACGTGAAGCTGGCGAAGAGGAGCCGCTCGAGGGAGCTGCTGGTCTTCTGCGACCGCAGTGCCGCGACACACGAGGTCCCAAACCACGCCCATGGGGCCGTTTGCGACGAGCGCGGGGGATGGAGGGTGGGGCCAAACGGAGCCGAGTCCCAGGCTGGCGGCCTCTCGCATGGGAGGTCCCCGCGAGATCGGCACTAGACCCTCCCCAAGAAGGCCTGCAGCGGGAGATCGGGGCGAAGGGGGGGGGGCGGCGGAGGGGGAGAGGAAGGCTGGGCGGCAAAGGGGGGCGCGGTCGTACCTCGAAGCTGGATCCTCGATGCTCGGACTTCCTGCTCCTCCTCCTCGTCCTCCTCTTCTGGGACTTTCTGATCACCCGGGCGAGGCCAGAGGTTGTACTGCACGGGCGCCAGCGCCCCCACCAGCTGGGGACGCAGCCGCCGCGCGCCACGGAGCAAGTGCAGCAGGAAGGGCGCCGCGAGCGCGGTGGCGCAGCCGTCCTCGTCCTCGGGTGCCCGGGCGACGGGGCGCGGGACACACCAAAGCACGACTGGCGCTTCTCTGTTGCACATTCGGCTTCGCAGGGGGGACAGGAGGAAGATAAAAGGCGGAGCGGAGGATAAGGTGGGTGATCGGACGTAGTGTAAGCACTCGTAGCTGCAGCATTGGCATTGTTCGTCGGATTGCTGCTGTTGTTGATAGCCGACGTCGCAGTCGTACGCAAAGTGGTCATCGTAGTCGTAGTCATAGTCGTAGTCGTAGTCGTAGTAGTAGTAGTAGTAGTAGTAGTAGTAGTAGTAGTAGTAGTAGTAGTAGTAGTAGTAGTAGTAGTAGTAGTAGTAGTAGTAGTAGTAGTACTATTAGTAGTCGTAGGAGTAGGAGTAGTAGTTGTTGTTGTAGTAGTAGAAGTAGTAGTAGTAGTAGTATAGTAGTAGTAGTAGTAGTAGTAGTGGTAGTAGTAGTAGTAATAGTAGTAGTAGAAGTATGTAAGTAGTAGTAGTAATAATAGTAGCGTAGTAGTAGTAGTCGTAGTAGTAGTAGTAGTAGTAGTAGTAGTAGTAGTAGTAAGTAGTAGTAAGTAGTAGTAGTAGTATAGTAGTAGTAGTAGTAGTAGTAGTAGTAGGTAGTAGTAGTAGTAGTAGTAGTAGT